AATTTTATTCCGCTTTTACTTTTCAATGTAGGTACTTAAATAACATTGCAAATGTGGAAACTTATCCTGTTCTTGTCGAGTGCATACTCGTACAACTTTAAAACTTGTTTTTTATCCCCTGTAGTACGACAATAATTTCAGATTTTTGTATCGAAAAGAAAACTTTAACAAGTGCATTTTTTTTAGATTTTTCATAATTAGGGCAAAATACAAAAGTTATTAGAATAAGTAACTTTTGATTAGCACAAAGAACTTCTATGTACAGTCGGTGCAAGGGCTTAAGTATCAACTATTTTTACTAAGTGCTATTCAAATGTGGGTACATAAGTGAGGCATTCTCGTCAACTTATCATGTTACTTACAAGTAGGTAACTTAATAAAGCATATCGACAGCTACCGTGGCTTATAAAAAGTATTAATCAATGCTAATACAAGATTAAATTAATTATCGGTTGGCTTACTTTAATTATTAAATTCCAAGAGTGAACTTTTTGGATTCTCATTACTACTTGTAATAAGCATGCAGTAATTAATACTTTAATGTTGTCAATAAAATTGATTTATGATTCTACAGGGTGTTTTTTTTTTAAATGAGACAGTATGGGGAAGTCTGAAACCATAGAAGATACAAGGAAACATTTTGTTAAAGAAGGATGGCGAGAGCCGTCCCAAAATCAATGAAGTGCCGTTCATGAACTTTGCTAGTCTAATTTTACGTTATAGTTTATGCCTAGTTATTAATATATTTTTGTATATTTTTAGAAGTCGGGAATAAAGAAATTACAAAACAATGTATTATAAAATAGGTGCAAGAAGTGATTCAGTTCGACCATAGATTGGGTAACATCCTTGTACGTACAATTCATTTTAAGCATGATTGAATGTTTGCCCGCCTAAAATATGGGTTATTTTATAGTACACACAAAAACATTAAAGCTATAAAACACCTAATGAAATAATCAATTAAACAATAATGACACAAAGTGAAAAATAAAACACAATGTGACAAAAATGTTTAGACAACATTTAAATGAGAGATACAAAAATAGCAAAGGAACGTTTTGACAAGAGTCCTCTTGCCAATGTCAATGTCACTTTGAGATTGATAACAGTGTGACCATTTGTAGCAGATTTTTTATTCATTTTCATTGCGACAGAACATGTTAACGTTGTATTCAATGTGGCAGAGTTTGGCAGATTTAGGATTTTTCAACAAGTTTTGTATTATTTTTAGGAACAAACTGGAAACTTGTTCTTTTCTGCTACTACAAGCAAATATCTGAAGCGAAATACAGAACAATGTTATAAACATAACCTATATCAGATTTATAACCCCCAGCTTCCACCAGCTGTACTCAATTAGCTTATTTGATGCTTTGATAATGAATCACAAGTATTCATATGTCTCTTTAATGCCAAAAACACTGGGTCACAAAATACATGGGATGTCACCAGCGTTCTTTGACCAACTTCTGCTGTCCCGATTATTTTCGTCCAACACTAAAAAATTTTATTCATTTTGTATGAAAAATATTTTATGAAATTTACCAACTTCGGTTACCCCGATATTTTTCATCCCATGTAATGAAATGATCCCTTCATGAAACTGAGTTACTAGCACTAAAAAAATTTTGAACAATTTTATTTATTGTTATGGACAACTCACACTTGACCAAAAAAAAGACTTAATGGTTCTGACAGATTCCTTATAATATTCTATGATTTCGGATTACCCTATACTATCCCATTAAAAAAACACTTTAAATATATCTTGGACTATTTTTAACCGGTACAAAAAAAGGAGGAGGTTCTCAATTCGCCTTTTTTTGTATGTACGTACCGATATTGATGATTTTTTTGTTGGAAAGAGGCTACCTCAGAAGTAATCCCATTTAAATTTGAAGAAAATATTCCACCTCTAAGGGTGGTACACTAGAGGATGAATGACTTTTGAGGTCGGTTTTATTAACCGGACGGAGGTTAGGTTATATTGTTTTTTCCCTCGTTATTGCATTATATTAATTTATTTATTTATTTATTACATATTGCTTACAGTCAACCCAAACGCAATAGTAAAACTTAAAGCTAAATGTACAATCAATCTTAAGTCAATTACAAAAGTGAATAAAATATGAAAATTGATAAAATTATAAATACAGTACCATAAACAATAAATTATTACAGATTAACATTAAGGACAAAAAAAGATAAAAACCATTTGTTATTATATTTTAAACTAACATTTAATACTACTGTCTCCGGTCAAGGACTCCAGATAGAGTCCTGCGCAAAATATGAATTTTGTTTCTGAGCATGCCAAGAGGTCCAATGATGAGTCGAAGTTAAGCAACTGATTTAGATACCTAAGTGCACGGGGCAGGGGGGCCATCTCACTCACTCTACATCGTGTGGTAGGTACTGCAAATAACCTCATTCTATGAAGTCGCACCAGATTAGTTCCGATTAGTTAGTATATTATTCCCCGTACCAGACGAAACACATACGTTACAAGAGCCAGATTGCGTCCCACTTCTAGCATTCTATAATTTACCATGCCTAAAATAAATGCTGTGGGATAAAGTAAGGGGTAATATCCGTACATCTTCTTCTATAAGTTTCGAGCAAATGTCTTCTGAATTTTCTCTAATGTTTGTGTGTGGTTGTGATGGACGGGGTTCCAAATGATAGCGTTACATTCCAATTTGCTTCGAACAAAAGAGTTATACAAAATACACGATGTGATGTTGGTTTTTAACGATTTTGATTGTCTTAAGACGAAACCGAGACACTTGCGGGAAGATTTACAAATTTTTGTGATATGTTCTCGGAAAGTGAGCGCAGTGTCGAACCATGTGCCTAAAGTCTTTGACTGATTTAGATCGACTAATCCGAGTATCATTTATTTTATAATTACAAGTTACCTGTTTGCGAGCACGAGAAAAAGACTGTACATTTCTCAACATTCAACTGTAAACTATTATCCCTTCCCCACCTGTTCACGTTATCAATGTCCCTTTGCAAGAACACACAATCTGCATCAGACTTAATCGTCCTGGCGAATTTAACGTCATCTGCGAACATGAGACACTCGCTGTGTCGGATAGTTAGTGGCAAATCATTTATTATAATTAAAAACAGGAGTGGTCCAAGGCAACTATCTTGGCCTACACCAGAGTTTACCTTATTATTGTAATTTTAATATACATTACATATGCATTTATTTACATATACATTTATATACACATATACATTGTTATTGTAATATACATATTGGTGACGGTTTGCCGAGTAGTCCGCGAAAAATGCGGTTAGGTTTTTTTAGAAACCTGTAAGTATTAATTTTCTTAGTAGAACATCACAATCAATTTGATCAAATGCTTTCTGGAAGTCCAAGTATACTACGTATAATCTACTTGCTTTCTGGCGTCTAGCTCGTCAGAGATGGTCGTGGTAATATTCATAAGATTGGAAGAAGTAGAGCTACCTGTAAGAAATCCGTGCTGATGATCACAGAACCACCCCTTAAGTTGTTCATAAATAGACTTGTGCAAAACGGTTTCCATAACTTTTGCAAAAACAGATAAAACAGCCACGGCGCGATAATTCCTTATTTCAGATTTGTGACCCGATTTATGTATTGGTAGGACTTTGACTTTTGACATTTTCCAAACATTGGGATATGTATTGCATTTTAGGGACAAATTAATGATATGGTATAGGGGGTTAGTGAATGCTTCCTGCAATCCTTTACTATTACCTGTGGAATACCGTCCGGGCCTAGGGTCAGTTTAGGCTTGAGTTGTTTCATAGCGCTATAAATATCAAATTTCGTTACTTGGTCTACAATAATATGTCGATCGGACAACAGCTGGTATGATGAGCGAATTGTCCCAGCTACAGCAGCAAAAGCATCACTGGGATTCAATATGGGAGCCGAAGTCAGATAGACGTTTCTGAAAAATGTTGCGAAATCGTCTGCGACTTCCTGTGAATTGGATCTCCCGAACACAGACGGATCGTTTGACTGTCTAATCGATTTAACATGCGACCAAAATGCTCTTGGGCTAAACTTGAAATTGTTTTCTATTTTATTTATATGAGCACAGTAACATTCAGCCGTCAGCAACTTGCATCGTTTGCGGTAAAAATAGATAAACCCGTAATATAGTTCATACTTAGTACTTTTGAATAGAGTATGATAGTGATTTTTCAATTTCAATAAATTAATTAGCTCCGAGCTATATCAATCAGGATAATGGAAAATTTTGTAATATGAGTTGATCTTATATGGAACGGTAGAGTCAAGTGTATTATTAATTAAATTGTAGAAATGTTTGACGGCTTCATTCGGATCAGATGATAGATAGACTTGGGACCAGTCGATACTAAATAGTTTTGTGTATAGATCTAAAAAGTTTGCTTTTTTAAAATTTCTAAAAGGTCTCTCAAAATGAAGCGTGTTTCCATCGTTATTGTTTATGTCATCATCTAAGATATGTATGTACAGTCAAGAGCACGTCAAGCTCGACATTTGTACAGTCAAGAGCACATCAAGTTTGACACTTTGGACTTTGGACCGTTCTTATTGCAAGCGGCATGAGTTAAATTTAAACCGTGTCAAGCTTGACGTGCTCTTGACCCTGTACTTTGGACCGTTCTTATCGTAAGCGGCATAGAGTTGGATTTAAGTCTTAAGTGTCAAGCTTGACGTGCTCTTGACCCAGTACCATTTCCTTCATTTAGAACCATTTCCTTCGGTAGATTATAAAGAAATAGGTTTATGAAACTCGTATAATAGATTTTTGAACGGTTAATGGAATGTCAAAATTCTAAATCGAAACGAAAACGTCAATGTCAAAATTGTCAGTCAATAAATTATCGCGAATTGTTTGTTGATTACAATAATACAAGTGTACGGTAAACTAATTATTATTTAACTATATAGTCGTTTATTAAATTCAATTTAAAAAAGCTCATTTTCTAATACAGTGCTATAGGCCGTAGCCATCTTGCTGGAAAAGGCTAATGCTAAATTTTTTTGTTACTAGTATCATGAGGAAAACTGTGCTGTTATCGTGATTTTATCAATATCACACCTACAGCGTATTTTTAAATACAGCTAAAATGTCAGCGTTATTGACTGCGGATTGGTTTCAACTGGATTCCTACTATCGGCACGTAATTATTTTTAAACCAAGCTACCCACCCACTCACACCTATAAGTATTTCTAACAAACTTGCGTTTTGCTTGTGATGTGTACGAACAACCGATTTGTAAACAGTTGTATTATCAAATGTTAAAGTGCTTTATCACACTTTAACATAAACGAACCTCTAAATTCCAGAAAGTTCGATCTCTACTGCATGAACTGGCAAATGGATGATGGTTTTGACAACATGATAGTCAGCGGGGCCCCTTACGGAGGCCCTATAGCTGTAGTAAGGGATAGGAAGCATTATGTCAGAATCATGCCTTCATCTAAACCTGTTATCACAATTTACAACTGTGTGGGTGATGTTATTTCTAAGATTCTGGTAAGTTTCATCAGGTTTATTTTATTATTTATTACTTACTACAATAAACTGCATACTACAATACACTACTACAACAGTCAAGTGTGACCTGTAAATATCCCGAAACATTGGTTTGTTTAATAAAGTAAATAAACTTGATTTGAACCTGAAAAAATAGTTTAATTTTCAGTTTTTTTTTACTACATTTAACCTAAATTACATAATAAGTAATGGCTAGAGCTTCAGTAGCTGTAATAGAGATTTTTTCTTGATTTTGAACAGTACTTAACTTTCATACCCATTTATTTTGTTTTATGTATTCATCTAAATTGTTATTTAACAGTAGCAATACAATCTAAATGCAACTTGTGGGACTAAACGCTAACTGTTTCTAGTTTAAACCTGATTTTTAGTTGATTCTCCCATATCGAGTTCTTAAGTTTGCTCAATTATTAATAATAATGCAATACACTCATAGCTTCACACTAGGGAAACCCTGTATCGCACCATGGACACACATAAACAACCACAAATTACACCCAAACTCACGAGAGAAATAAATGTAGGCCATACACATATTTCTCCCAGGCCGTATATGTTAATGGTTACCCATTCGGCCAGAGGCAATTATACATAGGAAATTAAACTATTGTTTTGGATCTATTATGTATATGTATCTAAATTATGTATACTTGTTTTTTTTTTCAAACAACAGATTCTAAGAAATCAAATATACACCATTTAGATCCAAAAAAAATGGCCTTCCTTTATTGCACTTGCTGTCTCTTAGATGCCTATCATTTGTTCAGTTTTTTTCGGCCCTGCTACATAACATATTTCTAGACCAAATAACAAAGAAGTACTGCATCTTATTTCCAGTGGAACAGTGGAGTGCTTGTGCACATGGGTTGGTCTGACGGTGAACAGCTACTTTGCATCCAGGAGAGTGGTGATGTGCTCATCTATGACATGTTTGGGGCTTATCAGAAGACTTTCAGTCTTGGACAGGAAGTTAGAGACACTAAGGTATGTTTGCTTTGTAAAATTTTTAGGGACAATCACCATTACCATCGTATTGACTAATATGAAAGTTTGCTATTATAAATAATACCTAATTAAAATAATACATATAGAGTGAGTATTTTTTTCTTCTTATCTCCCTCTCAAGTCCTAATTCCAGGATAACATTGTATTTTGTTCCCAGCAGCAAGTTGTAATTGTAAGTAAAAACATAACTATTTAGTTTTTATTTTTTGTTTTTAATCGCTCTGGGATTTTAGAGGGAGATATTATCTGCTCTATGTGTATTATGTAAAGTTAAATGTTAAGTTTGGCAGAGACTGTGAGGGTTAAATTAGGGAACAGTGTGATAAGAGAGCATTGCGGGGTGGAAGAAGATGTAGTGACAAAGATAGTGAAAGGGGTGCTCAGATTTTGGACATGAAGAGAATGAATGAGAGAATGAATGAAAGAAAATTGATGAAACAGATTTATAAGAAGGTATACCAAGGTGAACTTATCATGACCTAATTGAGAATGACCTAAAAAAAGCCATGTGAAAAGTACTGTTAACTGACGAGGATGTATAAAAGCACTAATGTTTATGAGGCAAAGGATGTGTGTCAGGATTGTAGCAAATGGAAGACTGTTATCCCTGCCGACCCTGATGGGAAATTGGCATTCAGTATTTTGGCATTCAGTATTTATTTATACATTTTAGCAAAATTCACGGGCAAATAATAAAAAATAATTATAGTATACCTAAATATGAGTAATCCAATGCCATTTACGAATTTCCACCAACAAGAAACAATATAAAGTGCTTAGCAAGCCAAAAAGATATTATAAGAGAAAACAAAGACACAGTCCCAAATTTAAAAAATACCAAATAGACTATTAAAAGAACAAATCAGTGTATATGTATGCAAAAAATAGGTAAATACACTCTGTCTGGCTTCATCTCTGATAATTATCTGAAGGTAGGCTAGGTGTAAATAAGGCAGCAATAAGGTAAGAAATTGAAAAAATATGTATAAAAACTACATGTAGTAGTCTGTAAGTGCATGTGTGTAAATGTATATTATACCTTCAGTATCGTGATGATGGGATGCCTAATGTTTGACCAAACACAGTGCCTCTTTACTTATTTTCCTTATAATTATACTTATTAACCAGTATTTTCACAAATAAATGAATTATGAAATGAATTACAATCTGATCATGCAAACTTTTGTTCATTGTTTGTTGTTCCATGAATTTTAAAATACTTGTACAGTGATAATGCGAATGAAAGAGTATTGAAAATCCCCAACATGCATTAACTCCTTTTACCAAAAAATATATCTTTAAAATTTCTTTCCCCGGTGCTTGTTAATCAAAAGATATTAATTATGAACTTGGGGTGGTTTTGCAGGTATGCAGAGCTCGCCTCTTCCCCAGCCCACAAGGAGTGGGTCTGGCAGTGATCACTACCACCAACCGCATGTTCCTGCTCAGCAATGTCTCAGAGCCAAAAGTTAGATCAGTCCCAGATTTACCAAGTGAGTTTGTATAATTTGTACTACAAAATCTAGCCAGTGATCTCAGAATTTTTCAAAGTACCTGGACTTCCTTTGGTTTGTTTGATTCCAGAAAACCAATATTTTTTTATTATATCCCCTTATTTCAGGAGCCCACGAGCCTATAACGTCATGGTGCGTAATAAGCTCAGGGCTACAGAAAACCGGCGTGCTCGGATTCCTTGTGTGCAGGGACAAAGAGATCTATAAGTGCCAGCTTGGAGAGACTCGAGCTGTTCTTATGGTGAGATAGGAGCTTGTACTTTTTTCTATTGTGTAACCTCAGAGCCAGTGTTTTTTTCTAAGAATATATTGTTCTTATGGTGAGATAGAGGCTTTTTTGTAATGTATTATCACATAGTCAGTATTGTTTTCTCACAGTTTGTTACTTTTTCTCTATTTTACAATCCAACGGCTATTCGCTTGGAGTGCAATTTAAAATGAGGGTAACAAGTGTCTCAAAAACCGAAATAGTGATTCCAAAATTCAAGCTCGTCTTTGTCTACATTCATACCACGTTGAAAACCTGGTTCTCATCCGATCACTGATATTAAACAACTTCCGGTGCAGTCACTACTTGGATGCCTAACCTGCCTGGGTTAACACCGTTTCATTGGTAGTTTACTATCACCTTTTTCTTAATAGTTTAATATTCATTTGATTACTTATCACTTTTAACATAGAACATTAATAGTGCCTTTGGTTAGGTTATTTACGCTGTTGGGGCGTCGTAGTGATGTATCCTCGGAATCCCATGACGCTGATAACACGTGGCCTAAAGGGTAACCCAGGGGGCGGGGGATTTAGTGGATATGCCTCCTCACTGTAGAATTAGTCTCACATAGCTATTGGACTTTCCTGGGGCTCGAGGACATGAATACAGCATTTCCCCCTCATAAGCAAAAGAAGGTTATTTACGCAACATTAGCATCACAATCAACACGTCAACTAGATAGATAGATAGATGTAAAATGATTATTTGAATATACATACACATATACATAACAGAAAAATATGTAATATAATAAAAAGAAAAAACAGCAGAGTCACAGCACTGCCGAACACCCAGTTATGTATCTGTGCTGCAGCAGTGCAAAAAGGCCATAGCTCAGCGTCGTTATTTACTCAGGAGCAAACCTACAAAATATCACGTAGAAAACACCGATTCTCGTACAACAGTCGACTAATTCACATGACATGACATTAACTATGACCATATTAATGGTGCCTTCTCTAAGGTAGTTTATTGCTTTAATGCTAATAATTTATTGCTTAATGCCAAGAAGACAAAATGTGTTAAATTTGAATTACCTAACGTAAAATCGACTAGTCTAAGCATAGAAATAAACGGAGAAAAGTTAGACTTTGTTAATAAAGCAGTCTTCTTGGGAGTGACCTTAGATAGTAAACTTCAATGGTTTCCACATATATCTTCCCTGGCCAGCAGATTAAGCTCCGCTGCATACGCAGTCCGCACTATACGTGGGCTTACCGATGTTAGTACTGCTAGACTAGTTTAGTTACTTCCATAGTATAATGTCCTACGGGATTCTCATGTGGGGTAAAGCGGCAGATATTCAAACCATATTTGTATTGCAAAAACGAGCGATTCATTCTGTGTACCGTCTAGGCTCTCGGGTTTCTCTCAGAGAAAAATTTAAGGAGACTGGTATCATGACTGTGGCATCACAGCACATTTACTCAAATATTTTATATGCCCGTAAAAATATACATAATTTCAATAAGAAAGAAGATATCCATAATATTAACCTTAGAGCTAAATCCAAACTCATGGTACCACGATTTCGTTTGACGAAGGTAAACAACTCTTTTATGGGGAACTGTATACGTTTTTACAATAAGATTCCGGAGCATATATTAAGTTTATCATTTCCTAAGTTTAAACACTACATTACAAATATTTTGATCGAAAAATCATATTACAAAATTGAAGACTACGTGTTAGATAAAGATGTATGGAAAGACGACATGGCTCCAGAATCCACACAAATTTGATTCAAAGTGTATTCCATAGCATTTAAGTTTATTTGAAAAGAGCAATCCCTAGAGTTTCTTGCTCGTTCTTCTCAGGGAGGTCAGCGTAGTGAACGAGCTACTGCTCGTCAAGCTACTGCTTAAATGTGACGTTTTCAAGTGTAAATTTATTTTACCTATGGAATAAATAATCTTTGACTTTGATCATCTTTGACTTTGACTTTGACTTTGACATTCTACAGCTCTTAAACTGAAATAAAAACTTTCTGGTCTTACTGTAACATAGGATGCACTTAAATTATGATTAGTATGCATTTCCCGACTCACAGTATTCATAGTGTTAATATTGCAGTGTTTTAGACATTTAATTAATTAAGTAATAAAATTTATTCAGCGCCCAGAAGTAAAGAACCCATACACGCAAATCCTATCCATAGTGCCATCGCAGAATGGCAGACATGTGGCGTTGTTTACCGACTCAGGCTTTCTGTGGATCGGCTCTTCAGATTTCAAGAATAAGTACTGTGAAATCGATACTGGGTACATTAAACAACCTAAAGAGTTAGAGTGGTGAGTAATTACTTAGTTTAAAAACAATGCTATCAATGACGATAATATAGAATATGTACAGCACTGGGTTATGTCGGGCTGTGGGTGATGATCAGTGACAAAATCAATAAAAAAGATATATAATATTTCATACAATTTCATCAAATGTATTAAAAAAGTAGATAAATACGAAAGTTTGTCAAAATACAGCAAAGTTCAATAAAAAATGAAGATTACAATATCACCGAAAGAAATTACTATTTAATGTAAATTTCACTATCCCATAACATAAATTGTAATGGAGTACTTATTGACTCTGGTAAATACATATAAATATTATTTAGCAACAGACGCGCCGACTCAATAGTTCTTACTTATGGAAAGATCTCACTTGCCAGCACGCATAACGCGCAAGCTGACAATATCTCTTATAAGACATAAAACACATATAATACTTCTGTATATTGACTGTCCAAACACTAATATTAAGTATTAAGTAGTAGTTTAAGCGGCACTGATTGAATCTAATTGAACAGAGTTAAAAATATGATATACTATTGCAGGTGCGGTTCCCAAGCAATAGTGGGCCACTGGGACGACACGATGTGCATCTACGGGTTTAATGGGAATGTTTACACATACCCTTATGATGGACCGTTCCACATCATTCCGGAACTAGACTGCGTAAGAGTTATATCAGGTAAGTAAATAAATACACCAAACTGTATTAACGCATAATTAGAACAAAATAGTTTTTTTATCTGTTATAATTATATTATCACTATGGACCACATAAGAAGGCTCAAGGTCACTCAAAGAGCAATGGAAAGGGCTATGCTGGGAATTTCGTTGCGAAATCGAATCAGTAATCCCCAAGGGAACCAGAGTAACAGACATAGCCCTAACAATTGCAAAACTTAAGTGGCAACGGGCAGTGCCCTCTTCTGCCGTCATCTTTTGCCCATTGCTCGCAGAACAGATGGCCTATGGGGCCGAAGAATTCTCGAGTGGCGACCGCGTACCGGAAGACGCGGCGTGGTCGGATCCCCACAAGGTGGATTGATGATCTGGTGAAGGCTGCGGGAATCCGCTGGATGCAACCAGCGCAGGACAGGTCGTTGTGGCATTTTTTGGGGGAGGCCTACGTTCAGCAGTGGACGTCTTTAGGCTGAAATGATAATGATGATGAATTATATTATCTTAAATTGGTTACAGGTTTGTTTAAAAACGAACAAACAAAATTGTTATCAGTTTTATTCTTTCGAATTCCGATTAAAAAGCCCTTTTTTTATTACCTTTCAATTCCTGGAAAGGTTTATTAAGAAAAATTATAAATTTGACACAAACCAAATTATTTCGTTTCAGAATCGACTCACGAGTTGATTCAAAAAGTGCCTGTAGTCGTGGAGAAAATATTTCGAATAAACAGCACCGCACCCGGATCGTACTTGGTTGAAGCGTCGAAACAATTCCAGGTATTGTTCGTATAACAAACATTAATGAAATCAATGACAATGTATTCTAGTATGGTTCTAATCGAATATTTGTTGGTGTCTATTGCCAACGTCCATACCACGTTGAAAACACCGGTTCTCGTCCGATCATCGAAGTTAAGCAACGTCGAGTACAGTCAGTACTTGGATGGTTGACCGCCTGGGAACACCGCGTGACGTTTGCTTTTTACCACAAAGATAGTCCAAGTAATTTGTAAATTTAAGAAAAATAATACATACAGTTATGTACTCTTTTTTTCAGAAACACAGTCACAGAGCAGATGAATACATACGGCTTGTAAAGCCAGATCTCTCAAAAGCTGTTCAAGACTGCATAGATGCGGCAGCATTCGAGTTCAGTCCCGAAGTGCAAAAAATGTTGATTCGTTCCGCACAGTTCGGTAAAGGCTTCATCATGGACCCGGTATTGACCGACCATTTTGTGAAGACTTGCAGGTGGCTGAGAGTGCTGAATGCTATTAGAAATCCTAAAGTGGCAATACCGCTCACTTTTTTGCAGTATCCTTTTTCACAAAAAGTACAATAGTAAAATTGAACCGCAATATCAGAAGAATCAAATGTGACTGCCCAAAAATAACAAATCTTTGAAACGTTTTTCTGAGTAAATTTTAAAAACTTCACGCGGAAATTGATAATTAGTGATAATTAGAAACTAATTATTTATTACAAGTTACAATTATTAATACAAAGATCGAGCACTAAGACAAATTAAATCGATCTGGGTGTCTTCAGACCTCTAACCAGCGCCTCCAGCATATCGTGCCTGACGCTCTGCCAGGCTAGCTACTGAGCTACGGAATCAACCAGCAGACCTTACGAATTTTTCTATGTACTTATTGCAGATCTTTGTTCTTGATTTTAACGACTTTGTCGTAACGCCAGCTGTGAGAAATCTATGAAAGTTTTTCTTCACAGGCGCTAGGTTGATCCAGCCGAATCGAGGGAATTTTTCTTAGTGTTTGTTCTTTGTGTTAACAAACTAGTTGAGTAATTTGAAATAAAAATATTGAATATCATGGTAGTAAAACATCAGGTATTCAATAAAGTTAATATTTCAACAGTTTCAATTATGAATTTCTTAATTAGATGACCTGTCATAGTTACGCTACAGGGGGCCTACCACAACCTCTTAAAACAATATTACTTTAACCTTACATCATTGACCTTCTTACATTGACTTTGACGCGCTTAAAGTAAGCTATAAGTTTAAAACTATGATGTTTTATTGGCAGCTTTGTGAATATTCTTTCGCTCAGTCCGTACTATGACGCGACTTTAACATTAAAGTAATATTGCTTTTATGTCAAATTTTGCAATCTTAAAATAGTTACACGTATGTAATGGAAACAATATTATTTTGAGTTTTATTGTCCTAATATTGATTTGTAATGATTAAAAGTTAAGTTGAACTTATTTATTTACATATATATATCTCTTCAATATTTATTTTATTTTCTTGCTTAATAGTACATAGGAAATAATTTCTCGTTAAATAAAAATATATGAGATGTTTATTTCATAAAATTATGACAGCGACATCTATACGTTTCTTAGCAAAACTAACAGTTGACACTAGCCTATAATTCCGAATTCACAACGTGACAATCAAGACTCAACTTGTTTTATTTATTTTTCTTCATGAAAATGCGGAAAAACAATTGAAAACAACGTCATTTTAATAGATTTCATTATTACATACTTTAATTTTTTTTTTTGCAGTTAAAATTCTCTGAATGTAAATAACATTAAGTCCTTTAACATTATACTACAATAGGACGATTCGGAACATCAAAAAAGAAAGAGATGGCATTATACAGTTCATATAGCTTTATTTCTTTCCTATTTTTAGTAAGGAATATACAATATTGCGAAATCATTTGTTCTTTCAGTTACTTTAGCAACAACATATTACTTGGTTGATAGGTTTGCCATGGTACGAATATGAGTAATATAATAAGCTTACATTAAAATAATATTGTTTTTTTGAAACGTTATGGTAGGGCCCTGTACGTAGTACTTTATTTCCTTCTTAAGGCGATCTCCGACAAATCACGAAGGAAAAAATACACAGCTGCTTTATCACTTTCCAGTAGACGAATATTCTACTTCACCTCTGTTTCAAATAAATCCCTTAGCGCCCAGTTACACGAGCAGAAAGATTTCGCGCAGCCGCCACGCGGCGACCGCACATTAATAGCGAATCTGAATTTTATTTACTAGGCAACAACATTTAAATTCTTCTGAATCGCCACACGGTTGCCGCGTAGCCAGCTTTACCCGCGCGCCTTGAATATAGGTGTCCACTTAGATAATACATCGATGTCTTCATAGGATGTAAAACATTGAAACCTTTGCATCGATGATGTTCGATGCATCGCTTAAAAACATCGATGTTTTTTCAACATCGAATACTTTTTGTTTTTCTTAGCTTGACAGTGAACGCTATAGCAGAGTAACACTATTGCAATAGAGTGGCGCTATCGCTGCTCTAGTGACGTGTTTAATTTTATGATACTTTCTGTGTTAGTTTAGTAGTACTGGTCAAGAGAAGCCAGGAACTAAAAAAAATGGTATTGCAACGGTAAAACATACATTTACAGGTGAAAAAAAAAAATTAAACTAATAGAAATGTTTTTACGCAAGAATAATTAGGTATGCTGTCTAAAATAGATAAATAGGTTCGATACATATGCAATTATTCATTCGCAGAAGAATGAAATAAGCTAGGATTATAAATACTATTAAAACAAACAGTAAATGACTTACAAAATCAAATTGAAACACAGGGGCACGCCAGAGTTAGTGTTTTCTATGATTCGATGTTTTTATTCAAAAATACCGATGCATCGAATTGAATTTCTTCTTGTCAAAACATCGAATCAATCCGATGTATGGTATGATAAACATCGAATGGGTTCGATACATCGATGTTCAAGGAATATCCCTAGCCTGGAATGCTCGTTTAAGTTAAAACGTAAAAACTAAGTACATAGAGCGTACTTTGCCATGACAGTTAGATGCACGCGGTCGCTGCGCGGCGGCAACGCGGTCTCCGCGCGGCGTAAGCGCAATGAAATTCGTATCGAATAAATGCGCCCTTAGAGAACCAATCAGATTCCAAACGCTAGGCGAGCGTGTGCTTCTTGACCGTTTGATCTGGCGTCGTCTGCACTGCCTCGCTGGCCACATAGCGTCCTACCTACAACTGAAGGACGGCCAGACCAGAGTACTCTCACATTGGGCCTGCTATAAGGTAACTATTATATATATTGTCCGGTATCTAAAATCGCATAGAAATGAAATGAAATTCTGGTAAGTTTTCGTCAATTTGTTTATTATTACACCCTACTATACTACATTACACTACTACTATAGTCAGCCGTGACCATGGGAACAGTAAAGAGCCCATAACGTGAATTGATTGAAAAAAAAAACAAATATACGCGATTCTAAATCCGGGAAAAATAAACGTATGTCTGAAAATATAAATATAATAATATAAATATAAATAAAAATAATATAAATATAAATAAACTATTTATTTCAGATATACATTCATCTTTCATATGTACATTCATCTTTCATTCATATTTGTTAGTAAAGAAAAGTGCTTAAACTAGTGTTACGTTTAAAATGTTAGGTATTTATTATGATGAGAGCACAACGTACCCAGCCAATGACAGGGCGACTGGCTACGCATTAAATAAATAATAAATAAAATTGTTTATTGAATAGCTTATTGTAAGTAATAACTAAAGACTAATTACGCGAATCAATGTAAAATATAACATATACCTGAACTGGGAGAATCCTGGCAGAAAGCATTGGCAGTAGTGTGCAAGCGCATCGACAGCCCCAGCATTGGGGACTCCCATGTTTCCACCAATGTGTCCAGAATGCCTTAAATCGTAACCATTATGCTTTACACGCGGATAAAAAATATATAAAAAGCTGTCACTGACAAATTTGTAAATGTCCGTTCCTAGATTACTTCAACAGACAATCGAACTCGGGACTTCAGATGAAATCTTGAGATTGGCTTAGGTTAACAGCGGATTATTGTCACTTTATCAATTTCTACATCCGCCGCTAGATCCGGTAATGAATCATGTGGCACAGGTCTCTAAAAGTCCATATTCGCTTTGCAATATTTTTCAGGTTACCCAACCACATCTTGACAACGAAACTGCTGCACGTGAGATCGGCGAGAAACTTCGCAATGTGCCTGGCATATCTTATGCAAAAATTGCTATGAAGGCTGCCGAAAAGGGACGCAAATCACTCGCTATTAAAGTAAGTACCTATAAAAAAACCTATAAAAATAAGTATGTAACGAGTTCTTAGGTTTTCGCGATTGTTATACATAGGAAATGAAACTATTTTTCCGTATTTAAATCTGTCAACTGTGACCATGGGACCTATAAAGGGTCCGAAACGTCGGTTTGTTTGAAAAAACAAATATACGCGATTTAAATCCGGAAAAATAGTTTTTTTATGTTATTTTTTTAGTTATTTTTTTGTTATTTCCAATAAGTATGTAACTAGAAAATTGAAACAAATGCTTCCCAACGCAACGCCTGGGAACACCGCGTGTCCTTGGCTTTTTTTCTATTTTGGCATTTTATTACAAACTCGCGAGTTCCACAAAAAAACTTTTATATTATATGCATCATTTACAAATTAACTATGACACCATTCTTTAATTGATTAAATAATTAAATGCTTATTAACTATAATAACACCGTCCTTTAATTGATTAAATAAAACTACAGGGTATATTAGCGGAATTTATTCTCACTACCTTTAACACACAATACTTTAGGGTCCTTGTTATAATATTTATATTATAATTAATGACGTCAATGAAAATCTAGTGGAGCTCAAAGCATTTTGTTGCTAACGTTCATACCACGTTGAAAACACCGGTTCTCGTCCGATCACTGAAGTTAAGGAATGTTGGCCGCGGTCAGTACATGGATGGGTGACCGCCTGGGAATACCCCGTGCCGTTGGCTTTTTGCTTTGCTGCCTTTCAGATTTAAATGCTTTTTTCAGATTTTGGAGTACGAGACACATAGTAAACTTCAAGTGCCTCTGTTGTTGGCATTAGGCGAAGGCCCAACTGCTTTATTAAAAGCGACGGCCAGCGGCGATACGGATCTAGTCTACGTAGTGTTGTTACATCTCAAGGAAAAGATGGGGAAACACGAATTCGAGGTAAACAAACCAAAAAAAATATCGAAATAATAAAATTTTCTCAAACATAAGATTAAAAAAATAGTTAGATAAATTACTAATACAAAAATATATTTTATATTGAGGGATGGTGGATGGTGGAATCATGAATTTAATCAAATCTTCATTCAAAGTCGAGACAAAGTCAAATAATCTTTATTATAAGCAAATTACACTTGAAATCTTCATACTGATTAAACTCTACTGCTCATTCGTAAGGCAGATTCCCCTGAGAAGAATGAGCAAGAAACTCTAGGGGTTGCAATTTGTAAATATACATTTGAATACATTTATCATTACAACATTACAATATCATCTTAGATTGAGAATACCCGAAAGAGCTAAACGGGTCACTACCAAGTTGTATAATAACCTTTAGTATAAAATTTTTGTTTCACAATAGTTTTAAAGTACGTAAATGGCAAATTTTGAACGTCAATCGGAATCTTATTATAGAAGCGTATACGTAGCCCCCGAAATGAACTTGAGACTTTATGAAGACAACTGTCAAGAACTGCTAGTTTATTTTTATTCCTCGTATTAATGTTATGTCTATCACTATTTTTTATAAAAAAAAAATCTTAACATAAATAACATGTTTATAAATGTACTGTGACGTTAGTGTAAGAATGTCAATCTCTTAAAACTTTTCTCTCATAAACACTCTATGGCCCAGATTGCAAATTTCCCTAACCGCAAGTTTCTACAAGACAAAGATTCAAAATTATTGCACAATTTTGTTTACTGCAGCTGACAATTCGAAGTTTCCCACTCGCTCACGCCCTTTACATAAAATACTGCGCAAGTCATAATCGCGAGGCGTTACGCAAGGTGTACGTCCAAGAGGACGACTTCTATGGACAGGCCGCCACGCACATCAGAGACGCAATCGATCAGACCAACCCTGGAAGCGTAGAAGCGTCACTAATATCTGCTAGGGAATGCTACAAGAAAGGGAGGAATGACTTGGGTAAGTATTGTATTAAAATAAACATAACTAGTACCAACCAACGTTGACGCCTAAGAACTCATAATCCGATCTATAGTCTATCTTATTGGAAGACTGGATAAAATAACATTTTGCCAATAGAGTTGCCAGTATTTATAAAATTTTAAATAGTTATGTAGTTGTTGCCGGTAGTTTTATCGATAGATTGTGAAAAGAAGATAAGATTTTGCCAAAAATGACAGAATTGGGAATGTTACGACGTTCTATTTGCGTTTACGATTACTAATTGCGTTATTGCCTTCTTTAGTCTTATTTTGACACTTGGCCTACTTGTATCGAGATCAATTTTTAGTCATATACATTTTAACAATAATGGCTAGATTTAATAATCTACATTGAATTAAAATTAAAAACTAAAATATTATGTCTTCTCTTTGCATTTTTCGTAAGCATAGTTCTAAATACAATGTATGTATGAAATTCAATTTTTGTAAGTACAAAAATAGACAATTTAAATGAACTAGCTTGAACACCCTGAGATTGACGTTGACAAGTCCTATCTGCGTATAATTTCACCAGCACCCTTTAAAACCGAAACGCACTAAAGCTCACATTATTGCTTGACAGCAGAAGTACGTATTACGTACTTCCCTGGACGAACTGTTTCACAAATAGCTCTACTGCTACTGTAAAGTAATATTCTAGTACATAAGCAATAAAGTGCCATTTTCATTCTCCAGGCGTATTAATATGCGAAGACGCGCGCAAAATGTGTAAGCAGCAATCAAGCCTCCAAGAAACGTATGGCGAGAGCTTCATTGGCCTATCATTGCACGACACCGTGAAGAAACTTCTTAAGTTGGGCGAAATCAAGTTGGCCGATAAGTTGAGAGCCGAGTACCGAATGCCTGATAGAAGGTAAGACAAGAAAATGTAACCAATATAATTCCAAATATTCACCGGTACCTTTAATCCACCTAGTAAGCTCTTGGAGTCACTTGACGCTCGAGACGACATTGTCGGTTTACATATTTGAAGTCCTCAATGTGACTTGTGTTGTTTTCCTCACACGTCCATTCCAAACTACTTCATTCATAACCAAATCATTAGTGTCAATTATGTAAGAAACCAATTACACTAACATTTAGAAACGGGAATAAACGCGTTGAAATACGAATAGGTATTTTTCACACCTACCGAGTTTCCCTACATTCAAGTACGACGATCGTCACTTTTATTCAAGAGTTGTACGTGAAGCGATTGAAGTAAATAACATCCTAATAATTGTTATATAATATGTTGAGTGTGTGCGTTATGTTGAGTGTGTGCGTATTTGAACGCGTTTATTCCCGTTTCCAAATGTTAGTACAATGCAATGCGAAAGTTTAAAAGTATATGTATAAACCAATTAGAGCTGGAACCGATTTTTGGTAACTTTAATCTGATCAGTTCTGAGTAGTACCCCAGGAGTTAACTATGCTCATAGTACAGGGTATCATATTATTATTTCTGGCATATTATTATTATTATCAACAGATATTGGTGGTTACGCATACTAACATTGGCCGAAATGAACCATTGGGAGGATTTGGATAAGTTCTCAAAGACAAAGAAGTCGCCCGTAGGGTACGAGCCTTTCGTCGACGCATGTCTCAAATATAACAAAAATGATGAGGCGTTGAAGTACCTGCCTAGGTGCCGAGACGATATCAAAGTGAAGTACTATGTGAAGGCTGAGTAAGTACTTATTTTAATTAAATTTTTATTGAATTTATATTCAATTATTTTTTGTG